TTTATTCTTGCATCTATATAGCGAAGTAGCACTGATAACGTTCAAGAATTTTAGTAATAAATAGCAGTTTTTGTATTCTTTGGATCACTTTGATCTTCAACACGTACGTAACTTTATGTGACTTAATTCAGCGTATTGTTTAACATTTTACTTATATATATTGTGTGTTATTTTTATGAGATAATTTTCACAATAGTAACGAGATATTAATTTCTAAATATGGCAGAATAAGCAGGTAAAATCGATGCATAAGGTCGAAATCAGACTATGCATTGAAGATTGAAGATTAAAGATTGAAATTCCACCAATAAGGAGAAAGAAATTTTGGCTCCTTTTGTTCTGATTGATCAAATTTCAATCTTTCAATCTTCAATCTCATTCTTCAATACGTAGTCTGATTCCGGCCTAAGACAACTTTAAAATATTTTTCAGTATTCTTTACGAAATATCTTAAAGATGTTATTAAAGAACTCTTAAAGATATCTTAAAGTTATTTTATTCGTCGATTTTAGACATTCTACACACTATAACTAAAAAAAAATTATCAAAATTGTAAAATGGTACAGAACTTTTGACTCAGTTTAGTCTTCTCTACCTGCCCACCTGCTCATGAGCGTTATTGGGCAAGATACTAAATATCCAGTATAATTATGGAAAATTTTTACATATATTAATATTTTACATAATATTTGAATTTTCTTTGTTTAATTTTTTAAACATAAATATATATTTAGTTTTGAAATAATATCTATAATATAATATTATAAATAATTTCCAGTTTAAAAAGCAAATAATAACATTTGTTAATATTTTGTTATTTTCTAATAATGAAAATATTTCGTGATATTCTTATTAATTCTTGTAAAAGTTATTATAAAAAATGAATGTGCAAATAAACAAATAATGTACAGTCGGTTACTAAAAGGTTGCAATAATTTTTTTTCAATGGGTTTCGGAATGCAGCTTGCTCAACAAGCGATTGGTTCTTATTCATGTATCCACAAATAAAAACCAATCGCTCGGTACGAGTAGACTACATTCCGAAACCCATCGAAAAAAAGTGTTGCAACCTTTTAGTAATCGACTGTACAGAAAAAAATGATGTGACCATATTATGTTATTATCGGAATTATTGCTAGCTTTAAACAATTATATCATTTAAATAATACTCATGTATTTTGTGCATTCATAAGTACAATAATAATTATCATGTATTCATTTTCAGGGTTGGGTATATAAGTTAACTTTTTTTTTAACTAAGTTAAGTTAAGGTTAACAACCTTGAAAATTTAAGATACAAGTTAATTTATAATGAAATTAATTAAATTAAAAGTTACACTCTAAATTTTTGGGAGTGAAATTTCACTCCCAAACTATCACAAAGAGTGATAGTTGCGCCAGTCCGACAGGAGTGAAATTTTCACTCTTAGAGAGTGAAAAATCACTCCAAATGGGAGTCAATTTTCAATCTATGTGAAGAGTGAATACATTTCATTCTCTGAAGGGAGAGACTGAAACTTCACTTTGATAAATATTAAATTTAGCCTTCTTACGTCTAATCTAAAAATTATTAGGCTCGTTCGACGTATTTTTGCATAAAATGAACGAATATGGCAGAAGAAAGCGTCGCTCTGTCTCGCGAAACGAGATATTAATCATTAAAGTTGATTTTTTAGGTTAGGTTAAGAAATTCACTCCTGGAGGAGTGAAGTGAAGTTCACTCCTTGTCGGATTGGCGCAACTATCACTTTTCTTGGAGTGAAATTTCACTCCCAAAAATTTAGAGTGTAAGTTAATAAAAAAAAGTAATTGAAAAGTTAAATTCGCTTTTTTTAATTTTTTAAATTCATGATTCTAGTGTTTCAATCTTACAAATAACAGAAATGAAAAATATATACTTCATTTAGAAAATACTCTATATTTTATTTACATGTTTTTTTTTATACTGTTTACTGTATAAGATTCTCTACTATGAATACTAGCTTGTGGTATGACTTCAGACACGATACGAGGAAGTAGCGATAGTAATAAGGAATAATAGATTTCAATCTATCAGAAACTATAAGATACATCGAAATACACGGTTTCTGACAGATTGAAATCTGGGAGTCGATTGTGTAATTTGAAATGAGGTGAAAATTACAATAGTGAGCAAATTTACTAGAATATTTATAATTTCATTGGTCAACACCTAATAAATTTGCTCACGTTTGCAATTTTCACCTCATTTTAAGTTATCGCTATTACCGCATATTATGTCTGAAACTTAACTTCAAAGAATTAAGGTTGTAACTTTAACTTACTTAATTAAAAAGAAAAATTAACTTACCCAATCCTGAATATGAGTAACAGTGATCTATATTTGTTATTACATTGTATACATTAACATGTTATATTATGTTTAATTAACAATAATTTAACATAATTACATAATTATAGTATATCAACAAGTAATAGTTTGTAGCAAGAAGATACATAAAGTATTAGAGGGGGAGAGAGAGAGAGAGAGAGAGAGAGAGAGAGAGAGAGAGATGTTAATTATATACAGTGTATCGTTACATAAGATAATGATTTGATAGAAACAACGTCAAAAGGTCTATAACACAACACGCGAGATATTACTTAATGTTAGAGTCAACTATAGTCATGACAATCTGAAAAAATGAGATAGGTACCTAAATAAAAAACAGGGCATTTTCTGTTTTCCTTTTTCCTAATTTTGATTAGCAACGTTTATAATAACATCCCTATCAGGCTAAAGATTAAAATTGAAATTGAGGATTGGAATTTGATCAATCACATGAAGGTAAACAAATATCAAATTTAACAAACTTTGCTTTAATTGATCGAATTTTAATCTAATTCCTTAATCCTTTAGTAGTTGAGTAACTTTTTTTAACAGTGTTGCATGAGGGTCAATTTGACCTACATTTTAATAAATTCATTTTTTATGTGTAAAGCAAATTTTTTATCTTTATTTATAAATAATTTTTTATACACGTTATAAATATAATAAATAATTTTTAACAGTCAGAAATTAAAAGAATTCATATTTCTAAAAATATTACTTTACGTATATATATATACATATGTGTGTGTGTGTATATAATCGGTCTAAAACGTCTTCCGACGCTGTCCGATGCCTAATTTTCCTAATTGCTTAAGGATTATCATGATCCTTACAGTTCTTTTCGTTTAGATTTCTCATGCTCTGTCTCTTTCATATTAAGTATAAGAAGTGACGAAATAAGATCATTCTAATATCTTTCTAATATCAACAATAAATAAGGAAAAGTACACTGGCAATGAGAGTCAAATGCAGTAATTGGAACGCAACAAAATTATCACTGATTTATTAATTAATAAATAACAAACGTTTGAGCATCATTCCGAACCATCATCAGTGGATATATTACTTATACATGTGATTATTGTCTCAAGCTCCACTTGGAAAGTTATATATATGTATGTCTTTCACAATGGTTGCAAGACCAAGTGATTTTGGATCTTGCAACGAGACCATATTCATTTAATATATTTTAAAAGAGACTTAATAGAAAGACTTACCAAAAGAAATCGAGATTTCTCGTGGTAGAAACCATGATCAGTCGAATTAATAAGCATGAGTATAATATAATTAAGAAATTTTGTCTCATAGAAGATACGTACGAACTAAACGAATGTTAGAGCCAAAATGGTATTCTTTTTTTATATTACTTCTATGTCATACGTACTCTTCCTCTTCTTCAACGTTTTAAAGGTCGCCACTCCAGAACCCGTTTTTGTAATCTTGAATCTGGCATTCGTCGCAGGTACATGCCCATATGAGTTGTTTCTTGTTGATATCATTTATTGTCCCTTCAATGTCCATCTATTGTTTTATGTTTTTATTTCTCTGTTCTTCCATTCTTAGAGATCTTCTCATTGCATCCATTTCCACATCTTCAAGTTACCTTCTATACTTATCTGTAACTCTCCATGTCTCTGCATCATATAATAACTTTTGATCGTTTTGTTTCATAGATGTTCCATTTGTTTTCTCAATATGTTCTTATTCCAAAACATTCCCATTTAGGCAATTTATAACTTTTTTTCCTTAGGTTATCCTTCTTTCAATTTTTTAATTATCTGTACCGTATAGAATACCTATAAATCAGTAAATATTGTTACTCTCCTATCCAAAAAAACGTAGTAGAAAGCACAATTTCTTTTTTTTACTACAATTATCACAAGATTACATAATATGAAAACTGTAAAAAGTAAGAAAATAGAATTTGCTCACTATTAGTCCCCTCCACAGATAAGTTGAATTACTCATTATTTGAACTGTCATTTATTCGCTTGTTTATATAGCCATTCATTTATTCAGTTATAAATTTGTAACTTTAATCATCACAGACGACTTGATTCTTAAACTAAAATTAAGTTTATGAAAAGAAAAGCAATAATGAAAACATTATATTATCAGTATTTTTGTTTGTCTCTTGTTTGATGACAAACGACAATTTCAAATAGCAATTAAATGTTATCTTTCTGACAGATTATACCTAACACTGCAGACTGATATTAGAATGATATATTTTATGATACAGCACATGTACAAATTTTGTATGAATTTAAATAGTATTATGCGTCATGTGTCTTTAAATACACGCAACAGTTTCCTATCCCCACTGTATGTTATCTATGTAACTTAAACGATAATACAAATCTACAAATGTCAGTCTATTATTGGGTGCACCAACGTGCAGCAATATGACATAATATCGAAAGTGTGTGATGCATTTAGTTTATAAACGCTCTTATTTAAAAATTTATCGATAAAATTTAATCTAAGATTTAAATATTAACAAATCAAAATAAAAACTAAATTTAATTTATATTAATCTAAAATATAATATTTAAAAGAGGTAAAGAAATTATAAAGGTACAAAAAATTAATAAAGTTTTAATAATTTGAAATTAATCGTTAACTCAGTTCATTTGTTTTTTTTTTTTTTTAGGTGATTTGGACTGATCCATATAACAATACGAATAAAAAATGCGAGTACTACTAGTAATTTTCTCTTTGTTGTTTTGCCTGTCGATTTGTCATGGATATCGTTTGCTCGGATTATTTCCATTTCATGGCAAAAGTCATTTTGTTATGGTTGAGCAGCTGTTGAAGGGCCTAGCCAGGAAGGGTCATCAAGTCGACGTGGTCAGCAAATTTCCTCTAAAGAAACCTTATCCAAATTACACCGATATTGTGATATTGCCGACAAATGTGCATTTGGTGAACAATATGACGTTTCAACTAATGCAACAAATATTTAGCGCAAATCCAATATACACCGTTTCGACATTGGCAGGAAACGAACTTTGCGAATTCTTAGGAAATCCAGAAATTAAAGAACTAGCCAAACCAAAGGATCCACCTTACGATGCTGTGCTTATAGAGGTATTATAAACACAAAAGAAAGACGCGCGCGCGCGCGCGCGCGCGCGCGTTATTTTCTCTAAGTTTATAATAAAAATCTAATTACTAAAAAACTTATTTTTTTATACGTACACGTGTATATATTTTCAGAAAAATTTTTCTAATAATTATTTTTTCAGTTAATTTCCAGATTTTGAGATGCAATAATATTTTGATAAAGAGATATTTTGAGATAGAGTATTTTGAAGTAGAGTATTTTGATAAAAATCACATTTTATGACAGAACATTTTGATAAGAATAATTGTAACAAAGATGGAGATAAAATTAATAACAAATTATCTCTTAAGTAATTAGGAAGCAAAAAGGCGTTTACTGAAATCCATTTTTTAATTTTTATATCAATAAAACAGAAGTATCTAATAATTAAAATATGTAATCAACAGTATATCTTGAAAACGTTAAAATTAAATTCAATACATTTTTTATGTTTTTAGAAAAATATAAGATATCAATAATTTGATATTTATTCAAAATTTAAGTATTTGTTCAATAGCATATTATATCTATGCTCTGTAGACATTGTTCGACATTAATTGATTAATTCAATAATTAATTAAAATAATTGACTAAAAATTAAAAAAATATATATAATCATAATTAATGTAATCAATTAATAAAATTAATTATCAAATAATCTTGTATGTGATTAATCAATTAAGATCGAACTTAATTAAAGTAATCGATCAAAATGATATATAATGTCACGACTAATTTAGTCAATTATTAAAGTCAATTATTAATAGTCAAACATAGTTGATTAAAAAATAATAATCAATCATTAATCATTAATTTTTATTCATATTTCAAATATTGTATTTATAATTTTTACGAAATATTATTAAAGAATGTGTTTATCATGTTGAAAAGATATTCAAATCGATATTATTCAGTTTATGGAAACTGGGAAAGACATTGCACACATTTCTTTACTGCTTTAAGTCTTACGTCTTAAGTTTTTCTACATGCTCAAACACGTATTGTTTATAAAAATTTATGTATATGTATGCAATGTGTGCATGCGACATGATGTATTATAATAGTATTCTTTAGACAGCACAAAATATAAGAATAACGAAAAGAGATAACGAAAAGAGGTCTTTTTAAGTTGTCTCCGACAAAGCAAAAAGATGTCTAAAAGATGATGGAAAGGCATTGTTTTTAGATTATCTTTTCAGCAAGACCAAAAGATGTCTATAAGACATATTTTAGTTTTGTCGAAAAGACAACTTAAAGAATACATCTCTTCGTTATCCTTCTATGGTTATTTTTGCAAAGCAAAAGGTCGACTAAAAGATATCTTTTCGTATTGCCAAAAAAACAATATGAAAAAGATATCTTTCCGTTACTTTAGTACTTTTTATCTCTCATTCACGAATAGTACGCGACTTCGCCACCAGATGGACCTGATGGAGTTCAGTTTCTCGTGTTTGAAAATCATAGAGGACAAAATAAAAGATGTAGCATTATAAGAAATTTGACTCGTGTTCTAATGAACACTAATATATTTTTTTTTAATCGAGTCCCCAAAGGAGACTATAATGAAAGATAAAGATTTTTGCACATAGGACACGGCAAACACGAAATGGAACGTATATTGTCAGTCACGCAATTTTATTTTGTTTTATGTAAAAATTAATTTAGGAATTCGATGTTATTAAACGTTATATTGTATCAAAATATAAAAACTCAAATAAGTATTAAAGACGACTAAAAGATATCCAAAGAAATCATCTTTTAGTTATTATATGGACAAAATTATAAGATAATTAGCAGTGCGACATTTGTCGTCTTTTAGTCATCTTTTTGTCAACTATATTGTTTCAGTAAAAGATATCTTTATAACAATTTAGTCGTCTTTTAATTATCTTTTAGATGACTTTGTGCTCTCTAGAATATAACAATGTGTCGCATTTTATAAACAGCGATTCTGTCAGAATTCAGACTTCACTTTGAGTGCTTTTCGATTGTGAAATCACTAGACACTTGCTAAATTCACTTGCAAAGAATCGTGATAAAGTAGGATAACTTCTGCAGGGTTTCTCCTTAACAGGAGAAACAGGAAACTGCTCATCACGAAAATTTGTGTTTATGTTTATTATTATTTCTCTCAACATATTAAATAACTTAATAATAATTTAATTCAAGTTTTTTCCTTTTATATCATATAATAATTTATGTAATTATTTCATAATATCTAATACCGTAATTTCGTACAACTATGGTCCTACGCCACAACTATGGTCCAAACACCCGCGCGCATGACAATTCCGATACGTAGATATAATACGAAGATATAATTGTAGAAATATTAATTAAATGTAAAAACATTAAATTACCTGTCATGTAGACCAGCGAGAACACAGAATAGCTTGTCGTGATAACCGATGGTCGAGAAAGTTGGCAACTAATCTCGTTATCTGCAAACTTTCTCGACCATCGGTTATCACAACAAGCTATTCTGTGTTCTCGCTGGTCTACATGACAGGTAATTTAGTGTTTTTACATTTAATTAATATTTCTAAGTATAATTATATCTATGTATTATATCTACGTATCAGAATTGTCGTGCGCGCGGGTGTTTGGATCATAGTCGTGGCGTAGGACCATAGTTGTATGAAATTACGGTATCTAAAACGTTATACGTAAAATATAAAAAATTTCTTTTTAGCAAAAAATATTAATTATAGATTTAATCTTTACTTAATTAAAAACTAGTGATTAATAAATAACGATTAATTTTTTAATTAGCAGCAAATAATGATTTTCGATCAATCGATTGAATTAATCACATTTACACGTAATGATTTATTTTGATCGATTAAAGCCACTGATTAAAACTTTAATTGATTAATCTCTAACATTTATTTCAAGGCAATTAAAAAATTTTAATTGTTTATTATAGCCGTCTATAAAAATTATATATATTATTCTCGATATAATCATTTATTATTATCAAGAATTAAATTTTTAGTCGTAATCATTAATCTATAAATTGATTAAATTTTGCCTACTGTCTGTAAAAAAACTAATAATTTTATAAAGGAAGCATGCACGTATGTACAGCAAGCACAATCTACAATACTTGTCGTTAATATCTCTATTAATAATATGTAGAATGTAATTTTGTTCTATTTAAACATCACAAATTTTTATCGATCATTATTCGTACTAATTTTCTATCGTAACATTAATCTTCTATCTAATCCTCTTACGTAAACAGAAGGTCAATAGGTAGTTCGCAGTTGCTTCTGACGTAAGAGATGAACTTTTAATTCTTCCTTCAACGTTCCAAGAACACGAAACTGGTACATGATCATTCATGTTATTACGACCATGACATGTACAAGTCACTCTAAATTGTTTTAAATGATCACGAATCAAAGTGACGATCGTGACTTTCTTGATTAATGTATACGTATCTGTTTTACGCATCTTATATCATTTAACAGCAAATTTTTACGATTTAATGGAATGTAATTTAAAATAAGATATTGAAAATTAAAAAATGTAGGAAATAAACAATACATTCAAGACTTCTAATCAAAATTTTAAGATAATATTAACTCTTTTTTAAAAAAATGTTAAATATCGTAAAAAATAATTTTAATTATATATGATAAAAAACGCCAACGAGCGTTAGACGTTTCAAATAATACAATACATATTCTTTGTTTAAATTTAAGATATGATTGCGCGCCGAAACATTCGGACATTCCTATATTAAATCAATTTATCTTATTGTCGGATATGCCGAAACTTTGGACTTTCAACACAAACAATCTAAGAAAGAGACGCTAATAATCTCCTCTAAATTAAATACAATTTTTATTAAGTCATAAGTATTTAGAAAATCTAACGTAATGGTGGAATTTAGCTTGCGACGTCATTTTTAGTATCCATAAATCTATAACAAATTTTGTCATTCTCTTTGTTGTTCTAGACGTTTGCAAAAAGTGTTTGCTATAATTTAAAATGCGAGACAAGGAAATAAAATGGTCATTTTTATTCAACTTGTGCAATATATCGCAAATATAGAAAATAAATAATAAAAGACTCTTGAGATTTAAAACAATCATAAAATTAAGGGGCGTGCAAGAGTCAATGGTTTGCAATTAAAATTAAAGTAAATGAAAACAAATGTATTATAATGTAAGGTATAAGAGTTAGAATTAGATAGAAATTATTACATGTTTCGGCATCTTTATCGTGCCCTCTTTAGATAAGCTACTTATTTTGTCATTATTTTAAATCTCAAGAGTCTTTTATTATTTATTTTAGTGTTGAAAGTCCAAAGTTTCGGCATATCCGACAATGAGATAAATTGATTTAATATAGGAATGTCCGAATGTTTCGGCGCGCAATCATATCTTAAATATAAACAAAGAATATATATTGTATTATTTGAAACATCTAACACTCGTTGGCGTTTTTTATCATATTTAATTAAAATTATTTTTTACCATATTTGACATTTTTTAAAAAAAGAGTTAATGTTATCTTAAAATTCTGATTATAAGTCTTGAATGTATTGTTTATTTCCTACATTTTTTAATTTTCAATATCTTATTTATTAAAAAAATGCTTTTCAGATAAAAGTTGTATAGTCTGTGTATGTGTACTAATAGCCACAAATTAGTAATTATAAATACATATATATATATATGTATGTAAATATATATGATATATAATACATATATGTATATATACACATATATATGACTTCGTCATTATAGGCAAAAAATTTTCCATCTTAGAAGAACCCCATACTTAAATCCTTTATAATATGATAAAATGTAAGATATTGGAATAACAAAAATTGAATTTTATAAATAGTGAACAATACAATTATGACTTTTGATCAGAATTTCAAGATAACGTTAACCCATTTTTTTACAAAAAAATGTCAAATATCTAAAAAAAATAATTTATCTGTATATGATAATTGCACCAATTACCGCGTATTAAGGTTCTTAACTGCCCGTTTTTTACTCTATTTTTTATTTGTTTTAAAAATAATTTAAGCTTAATTTCGGAAACATGTGCTGATTTTGGCTCGCGACATTTTTATTTTCAGCATTCAAAAATTAATAAGAAACACTTTATTTTATTCACAGATAATTTAAGAAAACATTTTTTGTTAACTAGTGTCATTATCAAAATTACATCACCGTTGTACACGTGATACAATATTATATGTAATTATTATTTTCTTATTTTATTTGTTAAATGAACCAACCTCGATCTAATAATATTCTAATATAATAATATTAATATGAAATTTCTTGATTATTGACTCGGATGAATAAATCAATATCTGTTTCAATGCCAAATCAAATCCAAACACTAGGTATAATTGTATATCAAATTCTTTATTGTATTAAAATATACGTTTCGATCCTTGTATCGGATCCTTATCAATATTTCTTAGTTACTAATGGTGAATTCGATCACTCGCACTACACTGGATCAGTACATATTAAAAGCTGCTTTACATAAAATATCTTAAATGCAGTGATACAATATAATCAACTTTGATAATGAAATTATACATATATATTTTGTTAAATAACGTGACTATATCATCAGTAGATAGTTAATCGTTTAAAATATTTATATACTTTTACATTTAATTTTGTTAATTTCATGTAAAGCAGCTTTTAGTATGCACTGATCTGTTGACGATAGACACGACGAGTAACATGATTTTCGCACATACTAACATTATATCATGTAAGTTAATCTCAATTTTTAATTTATATCTGTATTTATAATGAAGCTAGTACTGGTAAATAACATACGATAATGTAGTGTTCTAGGGAGCACATTGATGTAACTTAATAACTAAGAAATATTGATAAGGATCCGATACAAGGATCGAAACGTATATTTTAATACAATAAAGAATTTGATACACAATTATACCTAGTGTTTGGACTCGATTTGGCATTGAAACACATATTGATAATAATATTATGCCCACGCAATTTCTTCACTTCCAGATAAGTTGCGGATAACTTTAACCAGGAGATATCTCCATTGTATTCTCATCTCTTGAACGAAGTCATCTAGAAGTGAAGAAATTAAGCATTAATTGGTTAATTAATACCTAATATTTCAAATTAATGAAATTTTTTAATGATCATTTATTTAGATATTTATATGTTTATTTTAGATTTTTGGTGCGCAATGTTATAGTGTCATTGCTCACATATTAAAAGTTCCTTTGATTGGGATCAGCACTACGTCGTTGTACCCGTGGCTATATGATATGATCGCTCAACCTGAGAGTCTGGCCTTCGTGCCGAACAACTTTTTAAGTTCGACCGAACCCATGAATTTTTGGCAACGTTTGTATAACGTCATACATACATTCTTCGACAAGTGGTATTTTAATTATCTTACGACACGGGAGCAAGACAGAATAATAAGGGAACACTTCGGACCGAACATACCGAGCGTACGGGAATTGGAAAAGAAGATGTCGCTGGTCCTCATCAACTCTCACATCGCGCTAAATGGGATACAGCCGAGGACAGCTGCCGCAGTAGACGTGGGGGGAATCCACGTCCAGGACGAAGATGAAACATTGCAGCCTGTAAGTCGACTCTTATGACCCGTTTTCGTGGTCGTTTTCACTTTTTCGATGTAGCGCATGCCAACGAATCACAAGCTCACGTGCATGATATTCTGTAACGCTAATAATACTTCTATATAAATAATATAACTAACGCTAATAATACTCCTCCGTAAAGTGATACATCATTTGATGTGTGAGTGAGCAGTATGCAAAATGTTTTTTTCTTTTTCAAGGAAATTTTCCTATGGAAATCCTTATCGGAGTTTTGCATGTAGAAATAATTAAAAAAAGAAAGCTATAAGATCAAGATTTCACAGCGTAAAACACTATCATTTCCTCGTTTCTCGTCTACAAAAATTACTTTGTAGACAGTTTCTTAATAATAAATTATTTGCTTATGTTTGCATCATCGCCTAGTTATGATATAATAACCGTATTAACATTGAACTTTTCATTGAACTTTTCATTGAACTTTTCTTAATATCGTGAAATATTTCGCAATGTAATATTGTGATAATATCTTTCTAACAACAAATATATGAAATAGTTTGAACACATAGTCTATCATATATATGGTGACCATACGTCCTTTATTATAAAGAATAGTTATTTATTTCAAGTAGCTGTTCCTTAGATTTATTTTTTTAAACTCAATTTTTATTTTTTGTAATAATATTACTTTAATAATATTCATTTCTATAATTAGCATTACAATATCTAATATAATTTAAGAATAAAATCCTAAAATTTTCAACTTTGTCCTTTATTTTCTCTAAGAAAATATGATCATATTATATGTAATCATATAGTCCGTTCATAATAACACGATTTTATAGATCCTGTTGACCCATTAACGAGATATACGTATTTCCTCCTCGTCTAAAATTAATTATAATAAACGCTTAATTATGCGACGCGGTAGCAAACACATGAAATAAAAATATAAAACGAGCCGCATGACCGCGTGAATATCATGTATATGTAAATTTATTGATTAATGTACATTTCATTATCGAGCAATAATCGACAAATGTTCTTTTCTTAGTTCTTTACATTGTAACAATTAAATAACAATTAACACATATTGTATAACACGTGTTAATTGTACTTTAATTATTACTGTTTTATTTTGTATCTATACAAAAGATAGCGTAAACGATAACATTAATATATTATTTTATCTAAACATATTAACATTTTGTACATTCATTTACTGTTATCAAATCTAAGTACATAATTTGTTTTATTCATGCTAACACCGTCTTTGTTGCAGGAATTAGAGAAATGGATGAACGATAGTAAAGATGGTTTCATTTATTTCACTTTTGGCTCAATGATGATGATTGAGACTTTTCCGCACGAGTTCCTAAGAGTGCTTTACACCTCCTTAGGTAAAATAGCACCCGTGCGGGTTATAATGAAGATACCAAAACCGGAGAAATTGCCAGCCGGTTTGCCCAAAAACATTTACATTTCCCCTTGGATGCCACAAATTAAAATATTGAGTGAGTATCAAAAAAGACAAATATACGAATGTAAGTTTTATGTTTCTCTGACATTTAATTTTTAAACAATATTAAGAATCTTTATTTTAGACTGCATATGTGAGAAACACAATCAATACTAGAAATTTAAAATGCATATTACAGTCGAAGCTAGATCTTCATTGCTTTAAATAATTCAATTTTGAATTACTAATATATACTATATATGTACTTGCATATATACCATATTGCATAGTCTTTTTCAAACTGCGCGCTGAATTGTTTTTCCGGACTATAAACGCAATTAAAACTACTCTAGTAATCGCGAATTAAATTGACAAGCAATTTAATAATATCATCAAGCATCATGTTATAAGGATTCTAATGGCTTAGGATACTCGTACGGAATACAAGAGATCGGGTTCAAATCCCGGCCGAGGTATTTTTCGCAATAAATTTATTAACCGTTTCAACATTTTAACATCCTTATAATATGATATTAAATTGATGATATTAAATTGCTTGTCAATTTGATTCGCGATTACTAGAGTAGTTTTAATTGCGTTTATAGTCCGGAAAAATAATTCGGCGCTCAGTTTGAAAAAGACTACAATATGTTATATATGCAAGTACATAATACATATAGTTTATATTAGTAATTGAAGATTGAATTATTTAAAGCAATGAAGATCCAGTTTCGACCATAATAGGCATTTTAAATTTCTAGTATTTAATTTTTACATAAAATTTAAATATTGCGAATATTTGTAACTACTTAATTGCAAGTTGTTTTTTCTGAATTAAGGAAATTATAAAACTGTCTAATATATCGTAGAACATCCTAACATAAAAGCCTTTATCACTCACGGTGGACTCATGGGCACGTTGGAATCGATAGTATGCGGTGTCCCCATGATCGGTATACCACTTTTCGCCGATCAGTTTACAAACATCGACAGGTATGTTGCTAAAAACATTGCCCTGCGACTGGACATGGACATGATTACCGAAAAAAGCTTCGACGCAGCGTTAAACGCAATCTTACGAGACCCCCTGTATAGGTATGCAGACTCGTATCTTTTATTTTGCATATTATTATTAGACAAGAACATATTTATGCATCGATAAAATCTACATTTCTTATTTATCTATATTTATTAATATAATTTGACTTAATAAGAGTTTCTAAGAATATAAAATAAAATATTTTAAAATACACACAAATAAATATATTAAATTGTTACACATACACGCACGCCACACGCGATAAAATTTATTACCAATGGGCTGTTAAAATTCAAACAATAAACTTATAAAGTGACAGCGTGGAAAATAACTGCGCGGAATTATAATGCTACAATTATAAAATATAATGTGTATTTAGAATTTCATTATATGTAATGAAATTCTAAATGCACATTATATATTTTAAATTGTAAATTGTGAATTATTTATTCTCACGTGTCTTTTCATATCTTCTCTTATTTCTACATAATATTTCTATATTCTATATAATATTTGTATTCAAACGTTTTCTTGAATTTGTATGCATCTATGTTTTGTTATTTTTAACGATAGCTTAATTGAATGAATTTTTATAATTTGTTTATCTCAGAGAATCTGCGCGGAAATTGTCCCAACGATTCTTCGATCAGCCATTGAACGCTATAGACACTGCTAATTATTGGGTCGAGTACGTCATTAAGTACGGTGAGGATTGTTTGCGATCGCCCGCGCTGGATTTAACCTGGTGGCAATTATCCCTTATCGATGTTATCGGATTTCTTCTATTTTGCGCAGGAATCGTTATCGCTATAGTAATATTTATTGTGCGTTTTGTGAAGGAAATGTCAAATGGAAATTATAACAGTTTGTCGTATTCGAAAAAAATAAACTGATTAATTGATTATATATTAATTAGAAATAAATATAGTTTATATGTTAGTTTTTCTAATTGCGTATCTTCGCGAAGGAATTTATTGAAGAAGACATGCATAGAGTATCTTTTAGCAACGTTTACAGGCGATACTGTATAACACAGTGTACGATTCCGTGCTTTCCAATTATGACACGATGTTGACACAATCGTACACAGCTAAAATGCTGTATTCGATGTCGTTATTTTATATCACTTCATGAATACCAAATTTTTATATTTCATTACCACTTATTTTTCTAAGAATAATACTCTGATAAGAAATTTCAAGTTTCGGATATATTCGGACGTGTGTATAAGATCTTTTTCTTTATTTCACTCTGATGGTGAAATAGAAAAACTAATCAATATTTCAGCTATAAATCGACACTGTGTATTAACATAGCACACAGTATATAACTGTGTTCCGTTGCTTTCTAACAACGAAAAGCACCTATAATTACATGTCTTCCTTAATAAAGGTATTATTAGGGAGAAGTAAATAAAGGAGATTGCATTTTTATATACAAATCTCTTTGATATTCTCTAACAAATATTTATTAAACGTAATATAATTCTTTGACAGATATAGTTCTTCCCCCGTAACTTAATCTTACTCGCAGAAGCATACGTTTATACGATGTTCTTCGTTATGTACAGACACATTTATATTATTTTTGTATTACACCAGGCAAATAAATATATTTGCACCTATAAAATCTAAGAGTTCATGTATTCTTTTTATTGTCATACAATTGCTCAGAGTTCTCTTGTTTCAGTGCTGAATTAATCACAATGTAAGAAGATCAGGTGAACTAATTTAAAGGATGTACCGTTGTTTAAAGTAATAACAACATTTGTGACTAATTAAAAATTGGCCTTAAATTTTATAAGTTAATATAAAGCCGCTATTCACTAATTGCAGAAATTGTATTACCCTAAATTGTATTTTGTTATTTATTATACGCATTCTTACACCTGGTTTTTCATACGTTATGGAATTGATTCTCGAGCTCTGTTTACGCTCTAATAGATTTCTATTATTGTATCGCATTTTCCTATATTATGAAAATTCCGAATAACAACACTTGAAAGCGGAGCGCAAAGTATTTTTAGTCTATATTTAGTATCGGCAACAATTATCTGCAATGTACAATAGTCTCCCGACGATTGCTCTCCGACTCTTTTTCGCGACTTAACATGAAATCGATTAAACGCTACCAATTATTTTCTGCAGCATTACGCTAAATCGAGTATTATACGATTGCGTCTGTCGCGCGCTTCCTCGTCCTACCATTCGTGAGTATTAAAAAAAGAAATACGCTATACAGTATGAATACCGTTTACCTTTACACTGGTGGCAAATATTCGTTACCCGCTGGTAAATTACTCTTTCGATAATCGTAGCCATCATCGCTAGCGTCTATTTTAGGTTCGGGCGCATACATAGTTTGTTTCAGCCAGGTGATGTCAATGGGTGTGAATGTCGCTACCTAAGACAAGCACCGAAAAATCCGTAAAATGTTATGTAAGGAGCTTATTCTGTAATTCTTAACGACTGAAATGCCACAGTTAGTATTAGTCCCTAAGATAGATAAATGTATTTTGGTAACACGGAAATATAAGTAAAAAATGCAGAAATTAAAGATTAAATAAAGTCCATCAGACAAAGCTAAATTATGTTATTTGAGAGAAAAAATGATTTTTACTTCCTATTGTAATAAAATTATTATTTAACGTAGTTCTTGGAAAAATAAAATAGGGTAAAATATTTACTGACTGTGAATTAAAGTTATTTTAATACGAAATATATTGTAAAAAATTGTGGCTGTAAAATTAGTTTTATTAGTTTTATTAGTTTTACCTGATTAGTGGGAAAACATCCAGTGTCTTGATTATAAATTCCGGCGATATGGTAGGCTCCGTTGCCGTCGTAACAAGCCAATGGAGCACCGACATCGGCCTGGCACATATTATTTTCTTTATGTGCTTTACCGCAGATTGTATTATGTGCGACATTGATATGGGATTCCGCATCCAAGACCCGATTTTGACACACGTCATGCGTCAGAAGATCCACATCAACCATGTGCATGATAGCACCCGCGTAATGAGCTGAAATAATATTTGCATTTATATAAATTTATTTAATTTTATTTGCTACTGTCACGCATCTTTAGCATAGCTTATCAAACGTAATATTTCTTTTAAGCGATGGAAACGTCAACTCATTACCTTGCAGTATCGACTTGCCCCAGCCCGTCACGATGCATTGCGAAGTTTCTTGCACTTGATAATTATCGGGAAGACATAGCGTGTTGATATGCAAATTAAATGCTGCGGGATGTTCCAAAAGGAGCATAGCAGTATTGTTGCCAGGCAATCCTTCTACGTATCCAGGATGATATTTGATCGTTCGTACATTGATAATTTGGAATGGCAGCGGCTCCTCGTGTTCAAGTTCATATCCCAGTTTCCATTCTCCGAGTTTGACAGACAGTTCACTCGCCGGGAATCTGAGAAAATTTTTTTAAATGCCTTTAATTGCTTAATTTAATCAATAGTAAAATTGGACCTAAAGGTATGTCAGCAGGCACATAAGAAAACAAGATTTTCTTGAAGGATATATAATGTTTCTCGATTTTGCTTTTGAGTTCGCTCTATACGATTTATATTTCGCGACAGAATTCTATTTATAATTTGATATGTAATTTACTCTCTAAATTATATAGAATAGAATCTTACTCTAAAGAATAAAAATTTAGCTAGTCTTGAAAAAGAGAGCTTAATTTTTAATCTTTAAGAGTGAGATTTCATTCTTCAGAGCATAAGATTCACTCTAAAAGTTTTAAAGAGCAAATTTGTAGAGCAACATTTGAATTTTAAAGAATTAAAGTGCGTTTATGTATAAAATCGGCACGTGTAAAAAGATAAAAGATTTTAAATAAAATTTAAGCATTGCAATAACACTAATACCTTGTCCACAACCTTGCTTTAAGAGGCGTAAGCCGTAAAGCCTTAAGAAATGGATTAATCACAATTGAATAGGAGAAAAATAATCGATTGTGATTGATCAATTTTTTACAGCTTACGGCTTACGACCTCTTAAAATAAGATTGTAAACAAGGTATAAATCGCCTAAAGTGAAAATTAGTAAATTACCTATTTACGCAACTGGCAGCTGTCAGAACGATATCTGATGATATCAAAGCACCAGAACACAAAATCTTACGTTCCTCCGACCACAAAACCATCGCTTGCCACGGAATCTCTCCGAATGCCGCATCGGTCTCTCTGAAGTCGGTCGGGCGTCGTCCCTTTTATTGTACACAGATATAAATAAAATATTCAATCTCATGTTATAAATAAAATCATCTTCAAGCACTTTCGTAATGTTAGAATTCTCAAGTTGCATATCCTTTTATTACTATAATTAAATACTAAAAGTACTATAAGACATAATTTATAAACGTCTCTAAGCAAAATTATTCTCACGAGAGTAATTCTATCGAGATACTTACGTAATTTCTCACTCCACATGGATTGTTGGGCAACTGCAATTCCGGCACGACGGGAGGGTCACTTGGAATATTGAACGGCGCGGGGCTGCTGATCGGGGGCACTATTGGAATCGGAGTCGAGATTGGTAACACGCGTTGTGGGATGACGTCGGAATCATCCGGCACCAGGGGCACGACGTTCGTCGGCTGTAACTGCTCATGAACCTGCGGTGGCGGGACGAATGGTTTGATCGGCGGCCTGGGAATCGTCTTGATGGGTGGCTGGATGATCGGCTTCTTCGGTGGTTGTACCTTCGCAATATTCAAGAACGTCGGGAAGCCTTGCTCGTCGAAGCCACCGGTGTAGTTGGCCGGCAAATTGCCCGTCGGCCACGGATCCACGTAGTTCGGATCGCGGCAACACTTACCAACTGCCCCGGTCTCCGAGATTCTGCAACTCTGCGAAACCAACAACTCGTGATCATGCGATCCAATCTATTTTTCTTAATCACCGCATTTTATCTTTATTTGACTATTTAGGATATTTTTTTATTATCGGCAATTATTACGAATTATTAATGATCTGAAACGTGTACAATTGTACCTGTACAATTGTAATATCAAACAAGTGTTTCAAATTATTTCGATTCGGTAATTACGGAAATTCTACAGTATAAAAAAAGTTTAAAAAAAGGAATCACATAATTTCTCTTATTTTAACACAATAGTATAAAGAATGCAAAATGCGATTGTCATTTTCTAAAGAATAAATAATGAATAAAATTTTAGCAATAAAACTATAATTTTCTATTAAAAAATAATCTTTATAATAAAAATTAATATTTATGTGGAAAAATATCGAAGAAAAATTGTTTATAGTAATTATTTAAATTTGAATATTGATAATTCTGATGAAAACGACATTACCACGTTTTCACTAGTGTGACGTCATATTTAAAGTGAAGTAATTAAAGTAATTCGTGGACATTTTATTTCTTTACACAAAAATGATACGGTGAAATTTTATTTTTTTAATTCCAAAATGTTCTTATTTAAACTCCATCCTTTTATACCCATATAACTCTTTAAAATTTTTATATTTTTTTTATTTACAATTATATTAATTAAACCTTTCTTTCTTATAAGTATTTTAGCTATTTTAGAAAATTATTTAAAAAAAGCTATTTAATCAAAAAATATAAAAAAATTCAGAAATGTTTACATATTAATTACAAACTTTTTAATTCAAATCCTTGTATTATGTGAAAAAAAACTGGAAAACCTTCTTAAAACGTCTTTTGACTAAAGTGTCTTTTATACTGCTTACGCTTAACGGAACACGTCGTAGAAGTTCCTTGCTGCTAAGCGCAATTGGTTGCGGACTAATCGTTCCTTCTAACGTACAGTACTGCTCTTCTACGCAGAGCAGGGCGGCCGCACATCCCATGTGAACCGTAAATTGGAAGACTGCGGGATTCGGATTCGTAGGGGCTGATTTTAATGGGAAAACTGGCTCGCTAGCACTACTATCACCTACAATGCCAACCCATATTAATATAAAGAAAAAAGAAGAAATATTGAAGAAGATACCAATAATGTTATCACATACCTATTTGATATTGCTCCTGTTGATTCGTATCGGAGGGTATATGATTGTAATCGACTGGTATCTCTTCGACTGGTCTTATGTTGACATGAGGCTGATTAGCAGACTCGATATCGAATCCATTGTCCGATGGGGATTGCAGTACAACGTTGTTTTCTAACGGAGGCTTCAACAATTCAGTCACGTCTGCCTGATTATTATCTCCGAATGGAACGTATTTCTCATCATTTTCCAGAGTAGGTTTCGGGTACTGATTGTTCTTCACCGCATTAATTGGATCGATATCGAACGGATAATACACATTGTATTGCACGGTACAGCATACTTCGTGGCTGAGCTTGCACTCTTGCACCTGCGTGCAAATATTAGAAGGTTATTAAGTCTGAATTGCGAGTTGAGTTCAATTAATATTAAAATGTGTACGCGGGTGAAAATTATTAATAGCGACAAGAAATGACGAAAAGAGATCTCACCTGTCCTGGCCGAATAAAGCCTAGTTTCAAAGGCTGCACATACCCGTTGATGCATAGACTTTTGGCCACGCAGATTTTATTTTTACCACTGCAACTGATAGTGAAGCCATCTACGGCGCCGGCGCTAGGATAGGACTGCAATGTTTGATCAGGTTGATATGTATAATCAAGATTAAGTTGCTTTTGTGATTCTGAAGAAGCATGCGTTTGGTATCCTTCGAACGTATCTGCAACAATAACATTATAACGATATAATAAATTAAATAAATTATTTTATTATAACGTGATATCAGAGTCTTACTTTGCTGCGATTGATCCCAATTAAATTGCGCTTGATCAATTTGTTCTGAAACAATATTATCTTTGTAAATAGGGTAGTTTTGTGTTTGGGAAATATCATCGCCATACCAGGCAAGCTCGTCTTCTGAAATGCGACCTCATTGAAGATTGCGTGGTTGACTTTTTTGAGACACTCTAGCTCACAATTTTTTTTAAGTACAAAACAATTTAAATTACGAGACAAAACTTTAGCAAATATAAACAGAAAGGTGACGTTTTTCGAATTTCATGTTTCATAGAAAATTTATAATGAAAAATTATAAAACAACATATGAAATTATTAAACTTATGATACAGATAAAAAAAATTAAACACGCAATCGAATTCCCAGTCTGTATACTCACGTGTCTGCAATTGAGGTGACAATTCTCTATAAGGGAGTCCACGTGCGTGCGTAGCTAACGCTACTATAACTAGTAGCATTTCTAGCAGTGGTATCATCGTGGAGATCTAAAAGAATAAAAAAAGCAATATTAAGTAATTATCTCGAACTTTATATAATTCAATCACACGGCGAACGAGTAAATAAACCAAGATTTCATTAACGTCAATTTCACGTCTCACATGACGTCTACAAAAAAGAAAAAGGAGAGAAGAAAAGAGAAAGAAAGGAAAGGATTTTTGCTCGCCTCTCGTAGTGGTGGTCGTGACTGGTTCTTCTCGAATATCTCGTATCACATGGGATGTAAAGGTGTGCAAACTTTTGCAACAACGCTTTTTTTCTTTCTCCAGCGCGCAAGCGACGCGATGAATTATTTTAAGACCGAGAAGAATGATCGTTGCGCGAAGGTATTATATTATAATTTTATTACACTTTAGCCCGTTTTAGCAATCACTGACCCAAATACAGGGAACGGAACGTTCTAGAACGGCACCAGGATGCTTCGAGCTTCTAGCGAGAGATCACGGCGGAGGATTGTGGCTGCAGAAGTTGCATGCTTCTGCAGACAACGTGGGAACAAGGCTTCACGTAGGAGTAATTCATTCATGGTGCATCCGCGATCTTGGGCGACATCGATGAGATATAAATTTATGCGAGAAAACACCGTGAGATATAAAGTGAGATATACATAGGCCGGTCTTCATAATCAATTCTTATTTCAAGACCATCACAAGTAATGTCTTAGATGCTAATGCGTCTGACCGGTATTCATAGTCGATTCTTATATTTAAGATCGTCTTAAGTGCAGTCTTAAGATGTTATGAACCGCCGCATTAGCGTCTTAAGACATTACTTAAGACAGTCTTGAAATAAGAATCAACTATGAATACCGTCTGTAAAGTACTGCCTTAAGTAAGCATTTTCTTTTATTTTTTTCTTTTTACACATTTAATAATCGACATCAGCAAAAGAAAATCTCGGGCCTGAGTAAAAAATAATTTAAGTTATTGAAATGTCACGGCTTCCTATCCGCTTAATATTTCAAGATTTTAATGTGAACTTTATCCAAATGAAAGTTAATGACCGAATCGCAAGATTTACGTTTTGCGGCATATGAATCTGCTATCTACATCTACAATCTCTAATTATAATATAATCTATAAATATTTCCTGATATTATCTCAAGATCTCGCAACACGTGCAGACTGCCACGAATAATATATTGTATAATCATATATGCAAACATCTCGAGATGATTATTCTCAAGTGACATTTGGTCCACGAAGTCCGCGGCTGAGTGACAAGAAATAATTTTTAATAAACCTTGTATGTTATTTCTAATATTATATAAGCACGTGGGCTGGATAGATATCAATGGCGAGGCGTATGAATAGTAACACTTTCATATTCGTATCGTCTAGTATTTTCTAACGATGAAATAATCGCGTTCAAGGATCTTCAAGCGCTCTGTTTGCTTATTTATATGAAAATTATGCGATATACCCGAACCGCGTATGTAATATCGATCCTTATTTACATGCCCGTCGAGTGTAGGCGCCATGCTAACACATGCCTTCTATCAATGACGTCATCCCGCTGGATTAGGTCAGGTCAGGGTCACAAAGCCGACAAACGACATATCTTCTATTAACAATGTATAACAATCAAATTTCTGTTCAATTTAAGCTAACCGTTAAATCTCCTTCATTAATTCTGTTTAATTACACTGAGAAAAAAATTGTTTATTTGACTAAATTAATTTAGTTGCCTCTATTTTTTTCGTTGGAGAATGTATATATATTTCAGCCAAATACACAATATGTTTGACTTAAAATACATATATTCTTCATAAAAAGAAATAAAGACAAATTAAATTAATTTAGGAGACGAAATATAAACACAAAATATAAAAAAGGTTTAGACTTTTTTTATGTGTTGCCTTAATTTTTGTCTTCTACAAGTTTTATTTATGTTTCTACCATTCTACTCTTTAAGCCTGTTCTACAGTAAGATCACAAACTATAAGCCGTAAGAAATTAACTAATCATAGTCGATTATTTTTCTCACATTCAACTATGATTGGCCAGTTTCTTACAGCTTACGACTTGCAACTCTATTGTAGAACAGGCATAATACATTTGACTCACATTCCAATTCTAATTTTTGCCAGGATTAAAAAAAAATTAAATTTGCGATTGGATCACTCAATGTTTTTTCGTCGAAGATAAAGTTCTCATTAATGAGTCATACGTAAAACGAACGTAAAATGTTCGGCGATGTCGACAAAGGTTGATTAATATGCATTCATGTGTTACCGGATTACGCGCGAAGATCTATCTTGAGCTATCAAATTTTATGAGCCATTCTCGTGTGTATCTCGTCGCAAAAAAAGTCACCGTGGAATTCAGAACCGACGAGAAGACGACGCGATGAACTCATTACGGATTTCCCCCAGTCTCGTAGGTTTCCGATGATCTAAGGATATACTTTGCAATTCAGCGCGTAAACGGTTTGCGTGAGAGTGACTCGCGCAAATTACACGCTCTTCGCGCCTAACATATACCGTAAAAAATTCAATACGACACGCTCGTCAAATACGTTAAGTTTAAACGATGACTCTTCGTGTGTGGTTTTTTTTTTCGAGATAACTTCTACAGTTACAATCGTATATAAGAAATAAAAATTTTTTCGTAGGAATTTAGGGAGAATCATTTGGGTGAAATTAAATTCCTCTGGTCGATATCAGTAATTAATTTAAAAAATGTTTGGATCGCTTTCTATTTCTTTTCACTTTCTACGTGTAAGTTTTTCAACTCCCACTATAGAATAAACTTTATAGTGTTACTTATACATTACGAATGTGGAATAGAAATAGAGATATCTTTATAGATATAATTTATCAAGAAATTTTAAATGAATAGTAATGACTTATTTATAATTTATATAAATATATAGATGCCTTTGGTTATTAATATATTTTTACTTTCTGCTATTGACAAAAATTGATTGATTCGGATGTTTGTAATTTTTTCTTCCAGGCTTTCGCGACGTCTCGCAACCGGAATCTTTGCTTTCAACTTTCGAGCCTAAGGTACTGCTTTCCGGTTGTTAAGGCGGCGATAAAAATAATAACACCAATCGCGAAGGATTAACGGCGCCATGTTCTGACCGGGAGAAAGTATACAAGGTGTAGCCGAAACGCCGAAAATTCACGATGCGTTCGATTTCCATGATAAGCGCCACTGGTGGACAACTGGACACCGGGCAGGGATTCCGATCGTCAAATATTCCTTTGCAAATGTATCCCCGGCCACGTACTTTCACGTATACATTAGTGCTACTACTTTCTCTTTCATTGAATTACGCAGATTACCCGAGTATCGCACAAATCAGACTTGTCGAATTTCGCGCATAATCCGGCGACCGTCCTAATGACTCGAAGTATGGAGCCGAATTGAAATTAAGATCCGGGTACGAGCTCTCTTATACGTACACATACGTATATCTCCTCGTTTAGCACAGAAACTGTTTGAAAATTCTTTTCTTTTTATTATCTTCTTCTTCCCTTAACCCTTTCTCTTTCTCACTCTCTCACTCTCTTTTCTTCTCTCCCTCTTTCTGTTACGACACGAAAGCGCATAAATAATCCGTTGATTTTGACGCATTTCATCGAACGTTTTTGTAATGTGGGTGTAATATACATACAGCGTAAATACTTAAATATTCACGTCGTCATTAATAACACCAATCACCAACCGAATAGCTGCCAAGTAGAAACTTACTTTCGATTTGTCAATCAATAAGTACTTTCACCGATACTCGATATCTCGCTATACATAATTAATACGGCCATCGTAATTAATAGTCGGATATTGATTCGGTTATCGAGATGTATTTTCTTGCGAGCGCTCACGGCATTCTTTCAGCAAAAGAGTAGATTATCCAGGTAATAAAAAGTATATATATTTAAATAATTATGGGTAATAAAATGGGTGATAAAAAAAGAATGAATTTACTTTACGTCAACAGAATTACTCTGTAAAGGTTCTTTCCGGTTTTTAATTACAGAATTTTATAGCCTTAATTTTTAATTTATAGTATGTTAACAAGATTTCTCGATTGTTGTGTGTATTGTTGCATTTACCGTTCAGTAGTTAAAATGTCAAATCTAAACGAGTTTTAAGTATTTTTTAAATTCTTTCCGTTTTTACTGCGGCATTTATAATTATTTTTCTAAATGTATATTTATATTCACAGGCAAATGAACCAAGAAGACTTTAACGTGTTCTCACAAATTTATATTCATTTTACGTCGTTATTCAAGTATCATCAGGTAGAAGTCCTCTCGACGAAAAGGTAACTTCAAAAATACGACGTTTCTGTCAAGCCTTTCAATCTATTGGGTGAAATGTTAGCGCTATGCGTCTGATATTTTGAATGCCTAGCACCTCATTAATCAAATTCAAATAAAGGGACATTTCTCCTTTTCTTGTAGCGGCTAATAAATGAGCATCTAATGAAGCTATAGATTGCTTTTGGTTGCGTCAGAGCGAATATTTCGAATGATGTTACGCTGAAAAAAAGAGTTGGTCGTGGGTATCATGATTTCCCTGTCCGATTACTTGTCTATGATACACTGCCAATCCAAATACGTAATAAGTGATTTCATATGTGTGTGTAACTTAGAACTCCGTGTAAAAAATAACACACTGTTCTGCAGCATATTAAAAAAATGTATTTACACATTTAAGGATGTAGATGTCGCATCTAAAAACAATACCAAAAATATATAAATTTCATGGACTGTTCTATTATTACGTCTGAATATCTGTATAAATTTTACGTACAATTCTCTTATTAATTTAAAAGTTACTTAATTCTTTTGTTTGTTTTGATTCTGATATAAAATCACGTTTTATATTCATTTGCAAATTTGATAAGAAAGTATTGTCACGAATTAAAATTTTTTAATCGAATTAAAAAGTATATATATATATATACTTTTAAACGATATATAAACGAATAATTTTTAAACGAGAGATTACAAATTTATTTATTCTCGTTTAAAAATTATTGATCGGAAACTACAGAAAAATATAGTAATTTTGCATAAAATCATTAAATGAATCAAATTATTTGTTGGTTTGTTTTAAAAAGTTTTTAAGTAATATTATAGCTCATTTTGGTCGATTGTTTGACTAATACTTTTAACTGATATTGTATAATCAAAGCATCCTTAAATGTATAATATAATGTTACTTTGTACGGAAAACTAAATCACACATATACAATATGAGATCGCTTATTATACATATATCTACTTTGATTTGAAGTGTACTATGAGGATATATAATGTTTCTGGGTCGTCTGAATTCGGGCCGTGCAAGCATCTCGCGAAAAAAAATGAGAGAAATAAAAAAAGTGATCCTGCGGCATTCATCGATCTAACTTTCCA